GAACCCTCGCAGATACATCAAAGCTGGTATTCGACTGAGCTTGGACACATTGCTGCGGCCCAGGATAGTTGTAGGGATGTTGTGGGGGGTTATGTGTGCAGGTGCAAAATGGACTGGAGGGCGAATGCCCTTTGAAGGAGATCAGGCAGAGGGCTTTGTGCCTCATCTTCGTGTCACGTTGTAGCTCTGCAGGTGCTCCTTTTTTTGGGAGCAGCAAACATGGACCCGGCTGTTTACAAAGATCCGCAACAATTCAGGCAGGCGGGGAAGTCAAGCCGGGACTGGAATGAATCACCGCCTCAAACATGGACGAGTGGCTCGTGTTGGTAGGTCTTGCATTTGAGCTTCCACAATCCACCAGCAGATCAGGCTTGACCGACATGAGGAGCCGCCTCCTCTTACATTTGGCAGTGGGCCATGCCGGCAAGTGTTTGCTGAACACGCTGGGTTGACTGCCATCTTGAAAGTGTGCTCTTTCATGCTTGGCTGTCATGAGCCAACGCTGCCAGGATGCACTATTGTCTGGGGAGTAGCTCGATCCTCGGCGAAAGTGCGAGGCTCTCCCTGTTGAACTCTACAATCCGAACCGTTCTAGTTCGTGGCCCGTCGTTCTGAAAACCCTTTCTCCCACCTGGCACTGTGCGGGTGCGCAGCTGTTTGGGTCTTAAAGGCTTCGAACAAGAGGTGCTTGTTTTGCTGCTGCTTGGCTCTGGAGCCCTTGGCACCGTACTTGCCTGCCACGTGCTTCCTGCAACTGCTTTGACATCTGATTTGCAGCGGCCACATGGGTGTTCTCATATTGTCACGAAAGCCAGGAGAAGAGATGGGGTCTCTTAGATACCGGGAGGGGTCTGGGAGAGCGGGGCAGCGATTGAAAACTCGAGGACTCTTTTGCCAGGGCTGCGGTACGAAAAACGGGTTTCTTCTGATGCTGCAGACGCCGTCAGCCCCGGTTGAACTCATCGAAGGATGCAAAAGTAGCCGGGGGGAGAGCCTCAAGATCCTCAGCAAAACCCGCCGTGTAGTCTGCTTTTGATTGTGTGTCCACATACAAGCATGTCGTCTTTGCATGTGTGTGTGTGTGTGTGTGTGTGTGTCCGAACCTGAATACATGGTTTCATTGCTTGGTCCGGCATCTGCTGACCGTCAATGTGTCCTGCCGCAGACGTGGTCCCGGTCGGCCTGTTTGGCGTGATGGCGCTACAGGCGACAATCACGGCTCGATGCGCGAATTTCGGAGTGTGTCAGGCAGAAAGAAACTGCAGCAATGCAGCCACAGGAAGCGTCTCCTTCCGGCTTCACTGCCAAAGCAAACCGGCCTAAAAGCACGAGTGTGCGCAAGGTTTCGTCAGGTGTCGAAGCAGGCATGGACGACCAAATGCAGTGTCATAGGCGTTTAAGAGTCTGACACATAGTGTCCTGCACGGATGCATAGCTCTATTCACACTCAATTGATGCGTATCCTCGCGGACTTGTGTGTGTGTGTGTGTGTGTGTGCGTGTGTGTTTGTGTGTGTGTGTGTGTGTGTGCGTGTGTATTTGGGTCAATCCCGGTCCTAGCACCATCCAAGCCTGCATCGTTGAGACACTGAGTTCCTGGACCGAAGCCGCTAGGCAGATTAGTGTTTTCTTCTGGATTGGGTGTCGTTTCCTTCACTAAGTTTTCGTAGGAACTAGGATGGCTAGGATTTTCGCTACAGCTTAGGGATCCCTTAGGGGTATCCTAACACGGAGTCGTTGAGTCCATTAATGCTAGCTCAAAGGGGGTAGCTTTCACGGTGGCGATGCCGGGTCGGGAGTTGCCGGCCATGTCAGACTCGAAACACTCTTTGTGCCAGCGGCACCGTCAGCAGATTGGAGCGCCTGTGCAATCGAACAACTTCCAGCTGCCAAGAACGAGCTATGAATTACATAGCTACACGAGGAACTGAAGAGGTCACATGGCTGTTTCAGCAGCTGTGCATCAATTTGCAGCAAATCAGTAAACCACATGAGACTGTTCCTCACGGCCGGTGTAAAATGGTGCCAAATCGGCAGGTGATGCGTGGAAAGACTGTTATTTAGGGTTAAATCTTTCAACCAGCGTTTTCGATTCGGTTCTTCGTGTTGTTTTGCCACAGGAAGTCAGGCACCTGGGCACAGGGGTGGGTGGGTAGAAAAACGGGATAAAATATATGCACATTCCATCACATTCCGATTCCATAAATCGGAAAAGTACCAGGAGAGAGGCCATCCCCACACACTCCCAGCCTCGGTGCTTCATGGATTGTCCTGCGTTGTTTTGTGGCTCTGTAGTTAGCCTCGGAGTGACTGCCGTGGTAACAACGATATGCAGCCAGCATTGGGTTGGGAAGCTTCATTCTTTCTTGCAGATGTGCGCTGCGGGTGGGAGGAAATTGGCTGCCGGATGTGTCAGAATTTCTGAGCTACCCAAAATAGGCAACAGCTGTTGGCAGGGGCTTTTGACCACTTGACGAAAGAACCTGCGGAGCCAATCCTGCATCTGCCTCTCAAGGTTTGGTCAAGTTGGAGCTGCGCCTGGCGTTGCTCGTCTGTGAGAGTGCGGGCATTGCGGGCATGTGTGCGTGCTCCTCGTGCCCCAAATGTTGAGGCTTCAGCATCTTTGCAGTCGCTGTCAATCCATTGCCTGCAACTTAGCTGGCTGCAGCGAGGGAGGTGAAGGGTGTGGTGGCGCTGTTGTGGGCTGGGACGTGTGATCAGGAGTTGAATGGTGACTTCGAGCGGCTCGCAGACGTAGATGCCGGCGCCTGTTGGTTTTTGTTTTTCGTTGCGATCTTCTTGAGACTTCTGTGGCGCAAGGTTGGTAATTGGGGCTTTCGGCGCTTGAACGTTCGACTAATCTCTGCTTGAGCGCGGCGAACCGAAAAGATTAATGCATACAGCATGCTTCTGCTGACATGTGTCACTTCGCTGCCGCATGCTGCCGCTGTCCATGCCCGACCTTTCGCCATATCAAAGCCACGGAATCGTGCCAGGGCCGTTGGGTCATGCAATGTTTGCTGTGCTTGCGGGCTTCTCGTCGCTCCAGTATGCACAGACACACGACGCCTCGCTGACCGGCCTCTTCGATGAATTCTATAGTTCCGTCGAGTCACTGACGCCGCCGCCCCAGACAGCGATTTGACATAGTTTGGCCAACAGACGGCTCGTGGGTGTCCGCACAATGACTGCAGCTGCCTTAGTGAAGGAATCACCCCTTACTTCGCGATGCAGAAGCTTTGCATCTTCACGCGCACCGATTCCGGCTTCCCAGACCTCTTGACGACATCATTCTCTGCATACCGCAGAAGAACGGGAATCGGTATTTCGCCGCGTTGATGCACTTGCTTCATTTTGGAGGCTCGTCATCAAGAGAGGTGCAGGGATGGCCTTGAGTTCTGAGAGTGTTCTGAGCGATAGTGAGGTTGCATTTGCAGTTGCCTGTGAAGCGGCAGGTCCTCCACGATCAGTTGGAGACATGCTGAAGAGAATCTCAGAGTACGACTACTCCGCTCTCAGCTCGACTGACCGAGTTTGGATGCTGGCACGAAACCCATACAGCCGTGTGCTGTCCCTTTACCTGCACAAGATTGTCGGACTCTGCAAATTTGGCTCCTTAGGCTGCAAGGACCATGGTGAAAGGACGAAGTTCGCTGGTATCATGGGCTACAATGCTTCTGCACCTCCAATATTTTCGGTGTGGGTGGATCTCCTTGCACAAGTGATGGTGCGCTTACAGGTTCGGGCACGAAGAAACCTTCCTGCGGTCCCCACGACAAGGATGATACTCAGGGATTTCAGAGGGGCTCAGCGCCAATGCTGCCTGCGAGATCCTGAAAGCCTGTAGCAGGCTCACGGAATCGACCCCTGCATGGTGGACAAGCACTTCTGCTCGCAAACTTCAGGCTGTGCCTGGCGGCAGGCTAAGGAAGTCATGGTTCTGAGATTAGAGGAGCAGTGGAGGTGGTGCCTAGCCTGCACATACACCAGAGTATGCAGCACCATATGAGGCGTGGAGAACGTCTCAGACATCGAACTTGCCAGGTTTGAGCCTTTGGTTGCGCTGTTGAGCTCTACTGGTCTGCACTCGGACAGCCTCTCCGGGCATCTCTGGGGCCCGTTCACAGGATTGCCTTGCTTCTATGCGCCCGCCGGGAACTGCAGCGACTCCATGACGCGAACTCCGAAACCCCCGATTGTTGACAACATACATGGAACCGGCGCAAGCGACGCCGTTGGAGAGCATTACACGTGACTTGCTTGCAAGTCAGCTTGTCGTGATGCAGGCTTTCGAGGTCATCAGTGATGCCCATTCCTAGGCCGCAAGCGGCGTTCTTGATTCAGCGAATTTATGAGAGCGATTTCAATCTGTTGGGTGCCTTTCCCAGATGTGTAGAAGAAGTCCAGTGCAGTCCTTGTGTGGTCCACCATGGCCCTATGTCTGCACCAGCTGCAGGTTACGAGGTCTCGCCGATTTCGCGCTAGGCCCCTATGGATTCGTGGGTTCCTGTTCAAAGATGTGGGATGGAGCGCAGCCGCAACATCCAAAAAGTGGCTGAGTTTGCATGCCTTTCTGGGAGGGAAGCCTGCAGGGGTTGTCTTAGTTGTCTTCTGTCAGTGTTCAGGGGGGCGGCAAGTACTTTTTACATTAAAGCTTTGAGGTCTTTTTCTTCCGGATGATTTATTGGGCAGGCGGTCGTCCCATCCACCAAAGACTTCCCTGCTAACAGCGCTGCAACCGCCCCAAGGGCGCAAGCCGGTGAGACGATTGCTCGGCCAGGGTACAGGGTTTTGGATTGCCTTCGGTGAGATAACTTTCAGTCTTTCGAGATTGCCTCTTATCCCTCTACCCGTAGCTTTCGTAGACACCTCTTCTTACTCTCAAGTCTCTTGACTCTGAAGTTATAGTCGGCACTCGAGGTCGTAATCAGAGACAGCTTCTCTTCGCCGCTGCAGCCGTATAAGCCCTGCAGCGCCAGCCTTCGGCATAGACTCAGCGAGATGCACAAGGAAGAGAATCTTTATCTGGGAGAGTTGGTGGAAAAGTCGTTGGAGGTCCGGCGTACACCTGAACGTGGACGTGGTCTTTTTGCAGCGCAAAGACCAGTCCCAGTCGGGCCCGGGCAGCCGGCTCTGATCTTCACTGAGTCGTCGCTAGGAAGGATCATCCAAATCTCCCCCTGCTACAAACGAGGCCTCGCATGTTCCTTGTGTGGACACGTCTTAGGCAGCCCAGTCTGGCAATTGCAGAAGCTAACCGGTCTGCAAAGACGTGCAGATTGTGACATTCTGAACGAGAGCTTGTCTGAAATTTTGGAGGGACAGCCGCTGTTTTCGAAAGTCCCACCGTTGTTCTGCAGCACTGCTTGCCTGCGCGAGCATGAACGAATACTCGGACGTTTGAGGAGTCAGCGGAAGGCTGCACGACTCTTTGCACGCTACTCCAGGAAAGTGGGTTGTGTCTTTCACATGCTAGCGCTAAAACTCTTGTGCTGGTGCATAGCCGAAGTGGAGGGCAAATCCCCTGAACGTGCTGCTGCGCCGCTAAGAGCTCTCTGCTCTCGGCTTTATTGGGAGACCGTCGATATGCCTGCAGAACCTGAGCAGGCACATGCATTCAAGATCAAGTTGCAGAAAGAAACGGAGACCTCCCGTCAGCTGGCCTTGAGGGCTTTAGGGCTTGGACTGGATTTGCTACCAGTCGATTTGAAGCCCTTTCTCGAGCCTGTGGGCTACGCCAAGTTGCTGGGCTCGCTTTGCTCCAACTGCACGAGTGTCAAATACATATCTCCGGTGCTGCAATACATTCTTCAGATAGACGGCATGAAGGACGGTGCCTGCAAGACGGCTGCAATACGGGATCTGGAGCCGTGGATTCGGTCCCTAGCCAAGAACCCGCTGGACACGGATGGGAGTGATGTTGGCGAGGCGGTGTGTGACGTTGATGTGCTGACAGCGTGATTTGATGTGCTTACAGTGTGATGTGTGACTCGTGTCTGTTCCGTGTCTTCTAGGTGTCTGCTAGCAATCGTGCCTGTCTCAGGCAGCTGGCGAGGACGAGGAGAAATTAATTACGTGGCATGCAGCGAAACCTCTACACTTCTCAACTGCTCTGATCCCACCCTTCCGTGGCTATGCCATTTTTCCTCGCATGGTCTCCTGCCTAAACTTGAAGAACGGCTTGGCCTGTCCATGCCTGTCCTCTGTCCATAGGCCGAGCCGCGCGAGCCTGTAGCCTGTCCTGCTCGCCGAGGCACTGATGAACCATTCTTGCAAGCCCAGCTGTGGAATCGAGTTTGACTTCGCTGGGCGCATTTTCGTTCTACAACAACCTTACACCGACATCAAGCCAGGCCAAGCTTCTCAAGGGGAAAGCAATGAGTCTGGTGTGCATTATTTGTGCGGAGGTGTTGAACTTACAATCTCCTATCTGGACTCGTCGCTGGAATCAGAGGAGAGACTGCCTGATGTTGCATGATGATGCATTGCGCTTTAGCCGTGGCGGAGCAGGAGGACCACCGAGCCATGGGGAGAAAGCGACGACGAGACCAGCTGCTACCCTATGGCTTCGAGTGTGACTGTGGCTCGCTTTCGGAGTCCATGGATGCGTTGCTGGCGCTGCGTCGTTTTGTAGGAATTTTTCCCGAAAACCCCTCTGGGGTTGGGTTCTCGTTTAGTGCTCCAACGCGAGGTGCGCGATATCGGGCCCTGTTTTGACGGAAGAGCTTTAGAAGACTAAGCGGTGCACGGGCCTTGATGTCGGGTGCGCGGATCGCTGCGTGCGGGGAGGGCAAGGCTTGGCGGCTGGCTGCGCGGCGGAGGGTTAAGGCTTGGCGGCTGCGCGGGGAAGGGTTGGGCGGTGCGCGCGGGACGGCCGGAGCTTGGGGGAAGCTATCGGGTGCGCGGGCGGTGCGCGCGAGACGGCCGGAGCTTGGGGGAGGAGCTTGGGGGAAGCGCGCTATCGAGTGCGCGGACGGTGCGCGTGGGACGGCCGGAGCTTGGGGGAAGCTATCGGGTGCGCGGGCGGTGCGCGCGAGACGGCCGGAGCTTGGGGGAAGCGCGATATCGGGTGCGCGGACGGTGCGCGCGGGACGGCCGGAGCTTGGGGGAAGCAAGCTATCGGGTGCGCGGGCGGTGCGCGCGGGACGGCCGGAGCTTGGGGGAAGCGCGATATCGAGTGCGCGGACGGTGTGACGGCCGGAACTTGGGGGAAGCGCGATATCGGGTGCGCGGGCGGTGCGCGCAGGACGGCCGGAGCTTGGGGGAAGTGCGATATCGGGTGCGCGGGCGGTGCGCGTTGGGGGAAGCGCGATATCGGGTGCGCGGGCGGTGCGCGCGGGACGGCCGGAGCTTGGGGGAAGCGCGATATCGGGTGCGCGGGCGGTGCGCGCGGGACGGCCGGAGCTTGGGGACAGCGCGATATCGGGTGCGCGGGCGGTGCGCGCGGGACGGCCGGAGCTTGCATGGGGGAAGCGCGATATCGGGTGCGCTGGCGGTGCGTGCGGGACGGCCGCGGAGCTTGGGGGAAGCCCGATATCGGGTGCGCGGGCGGTGCGCGCGGGACGGCCGGAGCTTGGGCCTGGGTGTTCAGGAGGCGACCGCAGCCGCTGCCGCAGCTCGAAGATTGCGGGACGTGAGAAAAAAACGTGCGGACTTCCATTCTGGCAGTCTTCTTTTCGCCTGGGTTTTCGGGTTCCCGGCTTGACCTTGTTTGGATCCATGTGCCGATGCCGAACCAAGGTGTGCTTTGCAGCGGCTGCAAGAAACAGCGGAAGCGCGTCAAAATCGGATCAAAGGTCGACTGGATCGGCCATAGACCTGTTGTGGGATCTGGCGAACAGTATACACTTTTTCTGGCACTGCCGAGTGCAGAGCACGGTGCACTGTGTCCCAAAAGCAGCACAGACGGCTGTGGACCGCTCGTTCCTGGGTTCTACCGGATGCATTTGGGCCCGAGTTGAACAGGTAAAAAACACACCAGCAGCGAGTGCTGCCGCAAGCGACCAAAACACTCATGATCGTCTTAGAGTCTTGGATGGTGTTGCATGGCATAGTTAGCTCGACTCGTCGACGATCAAGCTACAGAGACCGGGCTGTTTAAGCCCTCCACGACCCTCTACTTGTGCAACTTGATCGACTGTGACCCCGCTATACACTGTCTCATGGCGATGAGCATGATTATGAAGGCGGTGTATAGGTCCGCGAGCTATCAAACTCGAGTCCGATGCGATGTTCCTCTTTGCATCGGAGTTCCGAGGTGCAGAAGACCAAGCCAGCTAGAAGCCAGAGGAGCCCGAGTTCTCGTCGTGGCTTCGCGTGCTTTCGCCTCTTCGCATCCCTTCGCCCTCGCTCTCCGTTGCGAAGCTTCTGGAGGAGCCTGGCAAAGCGCAGCACTGCCCCGAGAGCTTTCTCACCAGCTTTTCTGACCCTCACACTTGCGACAAGGTGTCTCCACTTGTGGCCTTGTGCTCTCTGAGCAGTGTACTCCTGGTTTTCTCCCAGGCCAGCTTGTAACCATCGAAACTGTGTTAAAGAATTAAAGCCCGCTAATCTTGATCACCTTTCGCGAAAACTATCCTGAAAACGCAAGCCAATGTCAGGCCATGCAAGCTTGTGCTGCAGCGTCAGGCAGCTGGTATGGCCGCTGCCACCCCGGACGGAGTGCGATGGATCCCTGGCTTCGAGAACCGGCGAGTTTACGCCGTGCACCAAGTCTGCGGGACTCCGTCAGAGGCCGGGATGCCGCGTTTGATGCCATGGGCTGCGCTGCTAGGCGGGCCCGGCTTTCCGGCGAAGCCGCGACCCCGAAGTCTTCCCACCACTCGGCATGCAATGCACGTCAATGCTTCCTAGGTCCTGCAATAGTGGAGGAGGGCCGAGGACACGGCTTCAAAGAGAGCAATGTGCTTGCGTGAGTTTAGCACGGCCGTTTCGTCTCAGGGCTAGTCGATCCAGATATGCCTGGATCTCGGGCTCTGTCGGTGTTGAGTTTCGATTCAGAGAGGTCGAGTCCAAACCAAGGCCTCCTCTGGAAGAGCGGGTCTATTTGGTCACCGGAGCGACCAAGGGACATGGACACGACCTCAGGTGGTGCGCCAAAGCCGAGTGCTGGTCTCATCAAAAGTATCGACAGGTCTTGAAACTGCCATGCGGCTTCTGGACTCCGGCTGCTCAGCCACGAGCTCGGGAAGTCGTTAGTCGTTGCTTACCATGAGCCTGCTTGAAAGGTCATCCTTCACGGCAAGTCAGAAGGCATCCAGATTTGACAGCCAGGTTGTTGTGTTTTGTTTTGATGGGTTGTTTTCGTTTGGACAGAAACGATGGATTCTGTTCTTGTGGTGTGTCGTCCACTTCACACGGTGGTAGCTGCCAGAGCATGCCAGACCCACCTTAGACACTTTTTTTGATCGGCTGTTTGAAGCTGCGCCTAGCCTGGCGTCCGGCTGGAGCATCCCGGGACCGTCCCCCGAGTCGTTTCGCTCGTCGCGGCAGCCGGGACATGCGACACAGTGCAATGCAGTTCACGTCCGATCACTTCGAGTTGTAGACAGCAAGACTGCAGATCTATTGAAGCGATACCTCTCCGATCTGAGTACCAGCCTCAGGAGTCCGCATTGCGAATTTACGGTGGCTGTTTTTGGTAGAGCTTTGGTACCAAGGTGATTCTTTTGAGACGCACAAGATTGATGGCTTCGAGTGTGACTTGCAGGAAATGGAAGATGTCGAGGTGGGTTTCCGTTGAGTCAAGATGCTGGGGGCATCTTCACACACGCACATGTCTTACAGGCACTTGCGGGTTTGATTGCAGCCGCGGCCCCAGTTCATATTATGAAGACACGTCACCCTTATCGGGAAGACCTGGACACATGACAATGAGGAACGCCACCCTCGAATCCATGGAATTCTTCACAATGCTGCCACCATCGATGGCAAATATCTCAGAGTTTTGCACTCGCTCCACTGTGAAGCTGCTAAGCCACAGGATCCTTCACGGGAAAAAGGAGGTACACTTTCAATGCTGAATCCTCAGATATGTGAAACACTACTCCAGCTCTGGATGCGTTTTGATCAGCTGCATCCAAGTTCCATGCCGAACAAACGATGGCAGTAAATGCGTGGGCACCTCATCCGGATGGCGTACCCTTGCTTGGTCGCTTGCATGAAGCAAAGGGAGCGAGGTGGTATAGAGCAGTGCCAAGGCTGGCCCCCTTCTACCTCACCTCTCTGCTGTTGCACGCGCGGGCATGTCTTGAGAGGGAGAGAGGAGGAGATCTCATCAGCGCTTCGCCGCCGGGCTCTGCTCTTTTTGCCAGGCCCCAGCTGGAAGCTGCAGGTAATGCAAGGGTCATGTTCGCGACGCCGGGGGCCCGCCGTGTCTTTTTGCTCACTGCGCTGCAGCGGAGAAATGAGGTCTCCGACGATGGGAGGCGCTGTGGTGCAGGTTTGGCTTTCACAGGCTTGGCATGATTGGCAAGCCGATCTCAGGTTCTGACCACCTCAACGACTTGAAATGCGAGTCGGATGCCTCGAAGGGATCAGCATCTCATGTCGGCACAGCCTGCAGACTCTCGGGTGGTGAGGCGATATTGGACTGGGCTGCATTCTTATCGCTTGAGCCGCTCGGACACAAGCAGAGGGTTCCACCACAATTGATCTGCCCTCTCAGTCCACGCCTTTTTGAAGGCAAGCTTTGTTTGGAGATGGTCGCAAAGGAGATGCATCTGCTAGATACTGAGTTCTTACCAAGACTCGATTTTAACAATGCTCACGTTTGCTGCTTTGTGCCCTTGATGGCTTGTGTCGAAGAGCGTCCTGCAGGCGATACGGAGCCGCGCCCAACCTGACCTTTCATAGCTTCAATCCTGGAACAGTTGGGAGCCCATCTGACGACAACAACTGCTGGCGGTCGCGCAGGGACTGTGCAATTTCGGCAATCCGAGGCGGACACAAAGCTCATGCGTCAAGGGACTGTCTATGGCGTGATGCCCTCACTTAGACTTGCTGTCCCCACTGCGAATCAGTGTACAATCTGGCACCAGAGGCTGGCAAGAAGATGGGCCGCGGCCGCAAAATAGTCAAGACAGAACAGCCTAGTCCCTGCCTCAGTGCAACGATGAATCGTTGGGGCGGCGGCGATACCGGGCCGCTCTTAGAGATTTGCTTGAGCTAGTTTCCATGTGTGAACCGACCCTTGCTCGGAAACCTGGCTTACAGCCCTGGATATTTGCCATGTGTTTTGTATTTTTCGAAGTCACTGGCCAACCGTTGTTCTTTTTGGATTCGGGACACAGCCTGGACCTGAAACTTTAAACTTGCTACCAATTCGTTTTGTGTTTTTCTGAGTGTCTTTTGTGCTCTCTGCGCTTCCGGGACTCCGAGCATCTGGCCCTCTTCGCGTGCCTGAGCTGGGGGGATGCGTTTTGAATAGACCCGAAACCCTAAACCCTAACGTTTTGAATAGACCAGTACCGGCCCAGTGTCAAAGAGGCAGCCACCTCAGTTTGTGGGTGGCTGCATGTTATGCTTCAAGTGACCTTCCTTTGTCATAGAGCTCGATGCATTGGAAGTTCTTGTAAAACCACCCGCTGTGATGATACCACGGGCAACCACCCAAACCATTTCCTGCTAGGGTTTAGGGCTTACGCCCTCCATTCCCATACCGACTAGACAGGGCAGGGGGGGGCAGCAGGGCAGGGCAGCGAGGGCCAAGACAGATCAGTAGAAGTCCAGCCAGAACGAGGCGGAGGGGCCAGGCTCCACGGGCAACTTCAGTGTCTGCGCACCCAGTTATGGGTGGGAACCCTGCGTGGGAATTTAGCATTTGGGTTTCAGAGTTTCGGGTCATGTTTGTGTTTGACCCATGGGTTTGTGCCCCAACACCAATTCGCTTGGCCAAGGCCATGCTGAAGGATAACTTGTGCAGTTATGTTGTACTGTACTATAGTAATAGTATGCTATATCAAAGTCTAGTACACCATGTTATATTATATATACTACATCATACTGTTATACCATGGAGGCGTATTTATTTTGGGAATTCTTTTTTTTTGTTTTGGGATTTTTTTTTGGTCTGTGTGCGGGGGCGGGCGGTTCTCCTGCCTTCCTGTCGTGCATGGCTTCTTGGTTTCCGTGGCTTCTTGGCTTCTCGATGCCCCCTCGACTTCTTCTAGTATCGTAACTTGGAGCATACTGCATTCTCGTTTTGCACGGCTTGCTGGCTTTCTGGTTTCCTTGGCTTCTTGGTTTCCTTGGCTTCTTGGCTTTCGGAGCATACTGCCTTCTAGTCTTGTATAGCTTCCTGGCATCTTGGTTTCCTAGGCTTCTTGGCTTTTCGGCCTCTCGGCTTTTTAACGGAGGGCGTATTTCTTGACTCCCTTTATTGTTTTTTTGCTACCTTTTGTTTTTTCTGTCCCCTTGGTCCTCTGGTCCCGTGGTCTCCTGGTCCCGTCTTCTTGGTCCCCTGGTCCGGTGCAACCCCTGGTCCTCTGGTCCAGTTCTCGGGATGTATAGTAAGTATAGGAGGTTACAAAATATACCTTTCGAAGCAAGGGTGAGAGAGTTGGCTTCTTGGTTTTTCGGCCACTCGGCTTCTTGGCCTTTGGGCGTCTTATAGCTTCGTGTATTATAATATACTATGTTCTATTAAATTACATATATATATATATATATATATATAGTAAAGTGTACTATCTTCTAGTATATTGTATTATTTTCTATCAGATTATACTGTCCTGTATGATGTTATATGATACGACATTATATTATATCATATTAGATCATAGTGTATCATATTTTTGCTGTTTTATATATTATGCCAGAATAAACAAAGTTATACTATATTGAAGTATATTACAATGTATCATAGTATATCATATCCCCTTTTTCATATATATATATATATGTTAAGTTTAATCTATTTTGTCATGTTACATTATATTCTATTATATGGTTTATTTAATCATATTATATTATGTTTTACTACATCATGTTATGTCATGTTAACATATATTTATAATCACATTCTTGAAAACTGAGCAAAGTCGCTTCGAGCATCATCCCGCCAGCAAAGACCAAACCCATATGGACCTTTTCAGAGCCCGTCATAAAGACGTTGTGTTTGCAAATTGGGGGGGGCTGCGCCCCCCCCAACCCCCCCGCTTTCTTTTTAAGCCGTGCAGGCTTGCTTTCAAGAACATCACACCATGAACAAGACTTGCACCAAACACAAAGCTGTTTTAGAGCTTTTCAACGCTCATAATAAAGGCATTCTGTTTGCTAAAAGGGGGTGCGTCATTGTTTTATGTTATGTCATAGGGCGTTATATTCTACTATATCAGTTTTTTTAAGTATATCGAGTCGTATCAAAGTGTATCATCTTTAGTATACTGTAGAATATTTTGCCATATGACAGTATATTAGTATATTACATGATGTTGTATTTTATGTTGTTATATCAGATAAAGTTATTTTATATTATATCGCATCATATCATATTATATCATAATATACCATAGCGTATCATGTTATACTCTACATTTCAGGATGTTGTATTGATGTGTGTATATTGTATATTATATGGTTTTATGTTATATTATATCACATGCATTACATTATAACAGAATGTTATGTTATATTGTATTACATTATTCCGTTGTATCAGTATGATTTATGCTTCATCATGTAGTATTATATTATGTTTTTTTGTGCCCTATTATGTTATGTCATGTTACGTTGTTTTATGGTTTTTATGTTAGATTATGTAAATTTTGATGTTTTTGTTATATTTCATTACCGTTTTTATCATATTACATCATATTATAATATAGTGTCTCAGTCTCATTTGTATAGGGCGTTATATTGTACTATATCATGTTATGTTACGTTCGGCTGCAGCAAAGTGTGCTGTTTCCCCCCACCCCGAAGACAGAAGAAAGACAAAAGAGTACCAAAAAAACACTGTAGCAAAAAATATGCACCCTTTTCAACCTTTCAATGTCTTATGCTGTCATGGCTTCGAGCATACTGCCTTCTTCTCTCGTACGGGTTTTGGCTTCCTTGGCTTCTTGGCTTTTCGGCCTCTCAACATCTAAACCCTACATAAATGCCGAAATCTTCCAGATGAAACCCTAAATCCCCCAGTCAACGGTTTCACTAGATCCTGCTGTGTTTCTTGAGGTCGCAAAACCTTAGAACGTCCACATTGCACAAGGTTTGGATGTCCATCCAAACATCGTCCGTACGTGTAGATTTTGATTGGCGTCTACCGGGGAACCGCGCAGATCCTCAGCAATCGGAAGTCTGGAGCTGCCAAAGCAGATGCCATCAATGATTTGGAAGCCAGTTCGAGCTTGATACGAGTTTGAAACTTGAGCGGCCCAACCATAAGATGGGACACACTGGGAACGGGAACTCCCGTCACGGCTACGTCTCGACGCCGCAGCCAGAAGGGGCAGGGCTGACAGAACAGGAATTGGCGCCATTAGTGCTTTTGAATGCGGATGATTACGCCTGCCGGCTGTTCGTGTTGCGATTGTCGAGGCGTCTTCGGCTGGGCTCAGACTTATATCGTTACCGTGCTTTCACGATCGCTGCCATGTATCACTGTTGTGCCATGAGTGTGACTGCTCGTTTGTGTGACCATGCCGAAGGTATTTCAGGATGTGATGAGAAACAGCGTAGTCCCAGGTCAGTTTCAGCTGTCGGTTTGGGTTGCAGAGGGAGGCGATCACGCTTTCGGGTGACTTTGCCAAACAGTTACCGCCGAGCTCGCAGGAAAAATTAGCGCAGCGCGCCCGCTGGCTGGCACGGCGTTGCATGGCGGAGCTTCGGTGACGACCGGGGTGTCCCCAGCTAGGGTCTTCGGCCCAGCGACCGGACAGCATGGAGAGCTCGAGGACGAAGGAGAAAGAATTGCGAGATTTTGGAGATCTTTTACAAGCTCGGCGGCCCTTGGAAGGTTGCAGGGCTCCGTCGTGCGAGTTTTGGTTTTTTGGAGCTCAGTGTGCTGAGCAGTTTTGGATTTCGGATCAGCGGAAAAACTTCTTGAGTCTTCGGGGCCTTCCTGGCCAGTACCCATTGCTCGGGGAAGAGTGTGACCGAGTTTGCGTGACAACCTCTGGGTTTAGAGATGGCTGGCTACGGGATCGGCGCCCCCCCTGCGGAGAGGACGGGAGTGCCGGCTCAGGAATTGCCGCCGGCAAGAAGTTCGTAGCCTGAAAACCAGCTACCGGGAGTACGCCTGGAACTCTCGCTTGTGGCCAGTGGAGGCCGTGGAACGACGTCCAGGATCCTTGAATGGAAAAAAGATAATGGATGGTATCCCGTTTGGAAGCAGGCTGGCGGCTTTCCTGGCGCGCGAAGCTAGAACAAGCTTTCGATGTGGGCAGGCGCTGAGTGGATCGGTCGTTGAGCGGTTTTGTTGCTACGAGGACAGCTGCCTTTGCAAAGCTCAAACATCAAGGCCTCGACTTGTTGAGCAACGCCGCCGGCAGTCATCTTCTTGGGCATGTGTTGTTCAAGCAGATGGACGTCAAGCGAGCTTGATAAGGCCTTATTTCTGAGATTAGTTTGCTCACATGTTTTCATGTTTCGAAAAATTTTCATGTCGCCCATTTTGGGAGAGACGATTGATTTATGAGCTTTTTGTTTTCATGACTCCTTTGAGGATTGAGAAATATATCTACATCCGGCTGCTCGATGCTCAAAGGTAGCGTCTGAGAAAATTTTTTCGTCAGGCGCTCTAAGGGCTCCTATGTGCATCTAGAGGCCCTCCTTCATTGAGCCCTGTAACACCAGTTGCCGCTAAGGCCTGTGCAAGTTTGCCAGTGGGCAAACGGATGGACTTCGGCGACGCTTTGGCTGCAGGCTCAAGTGTCCGGAGCGCGAGCTCTTCCACGGACACGCAGGAAGTGCTGAGCCAGCACGTTCACGACCTGCAGCTTGAAGTAAACCAGCTGTCGCTTCAGGTCCGGGAATTGCAAGCTTGTTGCAGAACTTCACGTGGACCGTGATCAGCATCGCTTGCGTCTGCATTGGCTGGAGCGCTTTGTTCAGGAAGTCTGGCGTGCGCTTCAGGGTCTGCTTAGTGCAGACA